CTTAAACTATAATAATAATAATGTTGGATATTACTAAACATTTGTTTTTGATAGAAACAGAATTTACAACATATTAGCGTTATTCTTTTATTCTGACTCTGTTACAGGCAAATGTGTATTGTTATGTTTTTTTCAACACTCAAATGTAGTAATACTCAAGAAGGTTTTTTTCTTATTATACATTGCATTATGTACAGAAAACTGATATGATACTGATATACTGGATCTACTGCTCACAGATGACTATACTGGTCAGAAATGAAAAAGAAATAAAAGTTTGCTAATGGAAATTTCTCATATCTAGCAGTTCAAAGGTTTTTCAATAAAACACTACAACCAACAAGAGTTTAAATCTAGTGTTAGTGTGTGTTACAGAAATGGATACCGAAAAATTAACTACGGTTAATAAAGTTTCACAGAACAGATAGATAAGACCATTCATTTACACAGTGAGAAGAGTATAATATATTGGAATGGGTCTGCAGACTTCGAGGAAGACATCAGTGTACACACACTCTTGTAAGGCCATTAAATCCCCATTTAATAAACTATATGTTTTAATCTCCTCTGATCGTACAAATAAGTAATTTATAATTACTGGTTAACATTGCAGCATTATGGGTTTTTAATACAGAAAGAAACAGTCAAAACAAGTTTCAAAGCCAACTGGCTTTATCAATCACAAATGCTGCTTATTTTTTAACCCTAAGTCTTTACGTTTCAGTCCGGCTCAAGTCACTGACCAGGACTATTCAAACTGGCAGCACATAGCTGGAAGAGCCCCTATGGGGCTAGAACTGGGATTCGTCAGCCCAAGCTCTCTCGACGAAACATGAACTTCTTAGGGGCCTGCCGACTTGCACTGACCACAGTGACAGAAGCACTGCTCCTGCAATCGGCATTAATTCTCCTGTAAGACACTGTGGAGCTTACTGTATGTCCAAAGACAAACAGTTCAACGGGTGTGTGGGTCCTCATTCTGGTTACAGTCACTGCTGTTAGCCACAATGTAAAGAAACAACTGGTAACTCCACACTGGGTGGACACAAAATGAAAACTACAGTTTAAAATGTAAATTGGCTCCCTGTTGGTTGAAAACATGGCATTTCTCTTAGATGTAAGAACAAAACTCTTCTGATGTGAACTCAAATGCTCCCTCATGTGGTTACAGTGCAAATATAATGACTTAGATCAGGGGTTCCCAACCTTCTTTGTCAGCTGAACTCCTTAGACCTAACTTATTTGTCTCAAGTACCCCCTTAAGATTTTAACTAAATCAAACCTTTCAATAAATGTAGATAAATGTTATAACAACCCTTTTAACATGCTTCTTTTCACTTTGTAAAATATTAATATTACTTCTGTTGCTTTTTTTATTCTTATTATTACCTTATTATTTATTAATTAGACTATTTAATAGCTCACAACAAGCATTTAAAGCTCACACAATGGCCATTTGCACTGGTAATGACCTGCTGCTGTTTTAAATTGGCTAACTTTCCCTTGAAATATTCAACTGGTTTTGTGACCAGGTTTGGAAGTTTTGTTTCCAAATGTCTTTTCAAGAAAGCTGGTTTCATACTTTCATTTGAAAGCTGCTCCAAACAAATCACACATTTAGGCAGAGGTTTAGCCTTGTCACTGTCAGTGCAGGTGAATCCAAATTTTAAATACTCCTCCATCTACTTACTGAGCGTTGGTGCTTTTGTCTGACTTGGCCTTCTCCTGGCGATTTCCTTTTACTAAACACGAATCTGTCCATTTTGATACGCATTATCACGTAGGATTAAGACGTGCTAACAACGTATGATCACATGACATTCAACAATTAGGTGAATTCTGTTGTTGGTTTTTGCATATTAAGTCATGGTAAGGTGTTACATTTGATTGTTTTAATGGAATATATTTTACTTACAAATCTACATGTATGTTTTTAAAACTGAATTTAATTTGACATGTTTCCATCACAATCTCGTGAACCCCCGGTTGGGAACCCCTGACTTAGATCATGTACAGTAGCAAGATCCGACATAATCATAATGTCGGCTGACAGAGATGGGCATTGCTAGTTCAAGAGCTTTGTGGCACTGCTGTTCTGCTGTTGCTGCTCACTGTCTCACTGAAGCTGTTTCTGTTCTTCACTCTGGCACCTTAATTCTTTTTGCTAGAAATGATTAATGTTTCAGTGCTGCTTCCACTCCAGTTAATCCACCCCCTTCTTGGAACTGGTAACAGACGGCCATACTGTACGCCACAGCATATTAGTCAGCACAGCCTCTCTTCTTAGGTCCAAAATGTAATCGTCCAAATGTATTTCTTTTTATTTTCACTCACTCAAAACCTCACAATTTCTTCTTGCCATTCTTTGTAATGTAATGTTTCTTTATTAGCCCTATACAATTTCTTGCATTAGGAATGCATCTTTTCGCATACCCCAGCTTTTCTCCATGGAGACAAAGACACAGAGACAGGGAGAGAAGCTTGGGGTCAGAGCACAGGGTCTGCCATTGTACAGCGCCCCTGGAGCAGTTAGGGTTAAGGGCCTTGCTCAGGGGCCCAACGGAGTAGGATTCCTCTGCCAGCCGTGGGATTTGAACCGGCAACCTTCCAGTCACAGGCACAGATCCTTAGCCACAGAGCCACCGGTGAATAGACAGTTTGTGGCCCGTGGTCCAGAATCTCTTGCGCTGATAAATACTGGACTGTAAACAGCACACTTGATATACTGTACACAGTGATCAAAGCCAAAAGAAGCAGACAGAAAGGGTCCTAATCACAACTTTAAAAAGTATTTACTGAAGATTAGGTGCAAACACAGGGTGACGTACAAAATATATAACAAGACATAAAACGTACAGAAATAAATCATTTAAAAACAGAGAAAATTAAGAATAGGACAAAAAAAACGTGAAGCAGACACATGTTGGAAGTGCAAAGACTGTGCAGAAAAAAAACAGTGAAAAGAGTGCCCATTGAGCAGTTAATCACATGCAGGTACTGAACCATCTATTACAGTACAGGGGAAATGCCACTAGGCAGAGAGTTGTATTGGTTGGTGGTGAAAATGCACAATAATGTGAGAGTGATCCCAAGTGCTATATCAGACAAAGAGCTTGCAGTCAAAACACTATGACTTTTAACATTTTAACAACAAAAGGTAAGTTGAAGCATCTTTACATCACATTTGAAAATACAACAGGATAAACAGGATATCATGGCAGATCATGATACAGCTGGAACAAGTGCCAACTACAGTAAACTCATAAATAGAGCTCACACAACCCAATCACTTGCACACCTAAGAAAGAGAATTAGTTGAGACCCTGACTTATCAAATTCCAAGTCCAGTATAAGGACCCAATCTAATTCTGTATGAGTGAAAGAGATTATTTGTTATCACTGTGGAATGTTTTAAAAAATTGCAAATGATAAAAACAGCAACTCCCTTAAAGCCACTGGACTGGACTTAGCTGAGAGATAAAACAGAACCCTCCGTTTGAACCTTTAAACCTGTTGCTATTATTCTCCTTGAAACAACCTAAAAGGGTTGCATAAACACGTCCTTTTTTATGTTATGTGTTTGTTGCATCCCTAAGCTAAAAGAAAAGACAGTGCTGTCTGCTCACATTGTTCTGGGAAGTACTGTAAACGTACCCAGAAAAAGCAACTAGCCAGAGGCAGTCAAATCTGGTTCTGGAAATCTGACATCCTGCAGGATTTAGAGGTACTTTTAATTAGCAAATAATTAACACTTCTAAAACATGCGATGTGCGTTCTTATTCAAATAATTAGCTGAATTATGCAATTAAGTTCGAAGTTGTACAAAAACCTGCAGCAGTCAGAAGAAGTTGGAATTGAAATTGACTCCCCAAGAACAAGATCGTCTGACCAGTTCTTTCAGATCGCTCTGCCTGTCTCTATCTTTCTTTAGTAGGTACTTTCTTAGTGAACTTGAGTAAACGCAACAATATTAGTTGATAATTCAGTGGAATCAGATACATCTTCTTTTTCAAGCCTTGCCAATTACGAAATGAGCCCTTTTCTATGGAAATGACTAAATTACCCGTACGAAAAGCTAAACCCAAAGACAAACGTCCCAAGCAAAACATCAAACTCATATACTGTGGGTTCAAAAAAAAAATATCAGTCTCTAGTTTTCTGTGGCTAATGTTATTATGAATATTCCTTTAACTGCCATACAGTCGTAAACATCCGTAACACATACAGTACAGTACACATTTTTTTAGTTTTCAAACTCAGTTCTCTGTGCTGCTTCATATACTGTAGGGTTGCGGCGAGCCAGAGCCGATTCTGCAGAGATAAGGTGCAAGACAGATTTACACCCTGACAGTACACCCTGCACGGGACGCCGGTCCATCACGGATAATACACATCCGACTGGTTTAGATACATTAACCGATTTTTTCCGGCCAGCATGTTTTAGGAAGGTGGGCCGAATCCGAACACAAAGAGAAACTCCAAAATAACAGCGGGAAGAAAATGCAAACTCTCTAGAATAAAACCCTGCACCTAACGGGTATGAGGTAGCATACTGTAGCTAAGCGCATTGCCACCCCCCGTTCACCGTGTATAATAATAATAATAATAATTAGAAAAACTGTTTTCCCATCAATATTTGTTCCTTTAGTCAAACATGCAAGGGCACTCTAACTTACTCGGAAACTACTGGTTATCACATCCAGCCCAAAACATTTTTCAATGTAAAAGAACAATGAAAATTGTTTGCATACTCTGAAAAATCAACTTCTGTACCTTCGATAAGTTGGATGATAAAAGTCTTAGGACTCGTAGTAGCAACACGAGTAGTAATCTATAATATTGACAAAATCAAACATTTCTTTTCACAGCAGGAAAACTTTTTTGTTTCACACTGGAAATTATTCCTCCACATTATACAGAAAAGAGAAGATTATCTTTGTGGGTAAACAGTAAATTAAAACACATTATACGCCGACAAATGACTACTTCATGCAACTCACCTAGCCCGGGTACAAAAGTGTTGAGAAACAAACAGATCACTGCAACTGGAAAAGGCATATAAGGAATAGCAGCTCGGAGAGGTCCCTTCTTCTCCCTGACTTGGACCACAACTCCACTGGTCGAGGAAGACAGTCCCTTCTCATTCATCTCTGTGTCTTTCTGGTCCATCTTTAAAGTGAAACACTGAGAGAAGATAAGACGTTATGTTTTCCCCTCACAACCTGTTGTACAGATTCCGCGGTTGCCTCTCGGCTCTACTGGGTGGGATCCGCTTCCAAGAAGCTACCCGACCCGACTGCAAACTGGATTGTGCGTTTTCGATACTGTACTCTCCCTGCGTTTCTCTTTGCATAGATTTGCGAACCGCCAGCGGAATGGATTTAGTTTTGCTTGACAAATTTAAAGCGACAGTGTCCCACTGAGCAAACACAGGGGATATAAAAATAGCTCCTCCTTTCCCGAGGAATCACTTGAGTTTCAAGGTTTAAAAAAGAAAAAATCTTGGACCGAAGGGGGTGCGAGTGGGGTTGCAGGTCTAAATTACGCGGTTCATGATAAAGATTCAATCATTCCTTTGCCGAAATTATTGCCCTGTCGTGATTAAATTATTGTGTTCACAATAATTTATTTTAAATAGAAACGAAATTAAAATGAAATTAAGCTCTGTTGAACTACAGGAAGTGCATCAGACTTCACGGACAGTGAAACACTGCCTGTCCACATTATTAAAGCCTGTTTAACCTTCATGTACTTGCTATAGTTGAAAAGTTGAGTGTGTCATACAGCATGATTGTTTTCCATAAATGGAAAGACGCAAATCCCAGCAGTATTCTTACACTGATAGAGAAATAAGAGTGTGTCTACATAGGTAAATATGGGCCACTAGATCAATTGTAGGAGCTTAGAGATTGTCTGCTTTTCCTGTATTGCTGCTTACTATATTTATTCTCATCTACTGTATATCATACACTGTGTTGTGTACTCATGTGGGACCCCAAAGTATTCCAGAGTGGAATGAAAAATTTGAAGACTATGTTCGAGGTTTTGGATCCAGATTTCTTCAAACATGAAAATGACTGTTCATTAAATCACCGATTTACAGTAATTCTTCCATGAAAGTGCTTATCAAACCAAACATGTTTTACCCTCTACATTTTGTTGTATATGTTTTGTGTGAATGTGTTTTATTGTCAGGCACTCTGTTACCTGTCATAGTCTGTGAAATTGATGCTGTTTTTCAGGAGTGAATGCTTACAGCAGGACATGTTTGGTTTCTGGGGCAGCTCTTACATGATTGGTAGAGGGTGGCATGGGGTGGCATTATTAGCTTTCCTGGAGCAAGGGGTCAAAATTCATTTTTTATATTAGTCAATTTTGGACTTCAGGAGGTTGAGTCCAGAGGTCTCTTTCTAGCACCTGGCCTGTTTTCATAGCAATTCAGAATCTGAAACTGGAGAGAGCGTCACTAGATTTACACCAGACAAGCTCAGTGACCGCTTTGTCACTAGGGGGTCACAATGAGCTGGAGTTTGACCTGGCTGGCACTGGGAAGGACTGCACCAGGGGAATACCAGTCCATCAGAGGACACACACACGCCTTCACTCACACACATATGGGGGAATTTCGAGACCCCAACTAACCTGGACAGCATGTCTTTGGGCTTAGTGAAAAAAAGCTGAGCACCTGCATAACACACAGACAGATACTGGGAGAATGCATGAGTAGATTTGAACATGTTGTTAAATTACAGCTCAGTTTATTTCAGTTTGTTGTCAGCCCTGTAGAAATCTTTTCCTTCTGAGTGAGACGTACAGTAGACATGCACTTTATAGCTGCTAATCATGTGGTTCCTGTAGAAGTTATATTCTAAAGCTGGATTAATTAATAGACTCTGAGGTGAGTCCTTTGCAGTCCTCTTGCCCTGGTGGGGGTCACAGAAAGTCTCAGTAGGGAAGACCCGATATCGTGTCCCTCTGCCATGGGCTTCAGCCCTCCTGGGAAAATCCTAAGTACTCCCAGTCCACCTTCGGTGTGTCCTGGGTCTCCACTCAGTGCGATGTGGAACCTCCCAGAAGGTGTCACCACCAGGAACCCTATCCCTCTGAACTGGCTCATCCCTGAGGAATGGTATTTCTACTCTGAGGCTCTCTCCGATAGTTGAGCTTCTCACCCTGTGACAGAGAGTGAGCCCAGCAGGCAGACAGAGAAACCACATTTCAAAGGCATGTCAGGTGCACTTTTGGTGATTAAAGGCAAATAAGGAGAAACTACAACAGCTGAGGTAAAATCTAGACCAAATTGTAATTCAAAGCAAAGTGCCTGGTCTTAACGGTCTATATTCTGGTCATTTAGCAAAAACTGAATATGAAGGTACTGTATTGTACTCATACGTTTATGTCATATGTTTTGTGGAATTCTGCATACAGAGAGCCAATATGGCAAATATATTGTTTTCATTTCTCAGTGAAATAAGAAGAGAGGAGAGGCAACAAACACACCCCACAAAGACCGATGTCATGGTCACATTGATTGTGAAGTAACAGATGTCATGAATACATGTTACTGGTACTTCCTAATGAGTCTGACATCCTTGCGCATTGATACACTTGTCTAAAGTGCTTGTGAGGAAGCTGTCCAGTGATGCCTCAAGGGCTGTGACAACTTGCCTTGGTCTGTGGTTCAGGATGGTCTCTGGTTGTGTGGGTGTGAGCTTTGTGTTCGGCTGTCTAGCAGTGAAACGGAGACCACTCATAGCATCTCTGGAACGATACTAATCCTTAATACAGTATATGACTTTTAGAGGGCTGAATCCATGCACTAAATTAAGGAAATTTGAATTTGTTTTTATCCACACATCAGATAATTACCATTACCTAATTTAAATTGGAGACAAAGGGGACTAGTATATTTATTGCACAAGTTCCCTTAGGAGGATGTAATTATATTTTGTCTTTTAGTGTATTACTGATACATTGGGTTGCAGGCATAAACAACATAAACAGTAGTTCAGTGTTGGACCAATGCGCAACAGATAATTAACTCTGAAATGAGGTTACATCCTCACGAAAGCTTTATTATTTGTTGTAATATTTAGTTTTTGTTATGCATAACACGAGAATAATGTTAATGTTTTTAGATTTTAATAATCCAGTTTGTATATATTTTTGTCAATGAGTTCAACCATGGTCTCTGTCTTCATGTATACAATAAGTTAACATCTATCCTGTATTTTTCAGGAATGGTGTGCAGTTTTCTTTTCTAGATCTTGAATATATTAAAATAAATGTGGATAAATATGGCTTACTATGAAATGTATCTTAATATCAAATTTAAAATGAGGATTGTCATTTTATCCTGCTTCTTTTTTTCATTTAATGTTTTGTTTTGTGTTTCATCACTTAAGCTGTTTATTAACCTTTATCAATGAGGAGTGCAGTAGATATCTGAAGATGAATAACAATAGGCTTGTTTTAAAATGCAGCACTGTAACATTTGTCCCAAATATGAGAATCATTTGGGTCCCCAAATTGATGCATATGTCCATGATTATGAATATTTGGAGTAGGCCTATGTGTTTTTGTCTACAACCCAAAAGTATTTTCCTATTGTTTGTCTTACATCTCTTAGCTGTGAGATTTTTTATTATTTGTATTCTTCAAGATTTTAGTGTGAGGAGGGAATATGGTATATGGAAGAATGAAAAAGGAATTCACTAATGATGAATTTTGAGTGACCATGACTTTACTATACAAAATGATGATCATGATGATGCTGCTGCTACTCCTAATAATAATCAAAAAATCGTTTTTTCCTGAAGAGTTAAGAAAATGCAATTGTTGCCACTCAATAAATATTCATTAGTCTGATCCCCTGAAGACTAAGTCACTCTTTATCACCGCTATGTCTCTTAGCAACAGTGAGCTGAAGGATTCTGGGAAAAGTGGTAAATGTGTGATCTTTTTTAAATATCCGATTTTAAGAGGCTTAGACACAATTACAACCAAATGAAATGATGGAACAAAAAAGGAAGACATTGTGTGAAACTTATAACAGGAAATATATTTCATTTAATAAGAATCAGACATTAAATGAATCAATTCAATGTATGGTATAGATGGTACATATTTGGAAGCTAACATTTTCTATCCTTGTTAAGTGGAATGTACTATCTACAGAGCTACTGTAAACTATACAAAACTAGAAAACTACAAAATCAAGAAATAATTTAAAGACTTTTTTTAAATACTGTTTTGTGGACGATTATATATCATGTCATTTACTAATTTATCTCAATATTGAATAGAATGAACGCATACAGACTATAAATAGTTAAATTACTGAATAGCATTGAATGTGAGGATTTTGACATTTTTATTGAGAATGCAATATTACTCAAGGAAAAAAAAGTAAATTTAAGATGCTCTCCATAATTAAAAAATATTTTATTAAATCTCTCAATAACTGTAACAAAAATAAAAAAAATATTAATGTAACCATAATAACTATTCTTCTAACTCTTGATTATTTGAATAATTAGTAGCATGACAATTGTGGATTTTATCTGCATTTATTAAAAAGGTACTGTGCCGAAAGCGTTCTTTTCGGACCCTATGCGGATGACACGATCCAGGGAAAAGTGAAGAAACACTGGGGGAAAAGTCATGCAAGATACGAGGATGAAAACAGAGGGCATGGCCTTGGTGCGCTGGTGTTCAGGGGAGGTGTGGCCGAGGCAATCAATCCTGGAGAAAATCCAAAGGGGAATCCAAACGAAGGCAGAAGTCCATCCAAGTCCATCCAAGATAAACAAGATTAAAAAAAATGGGAACCAGGTCAGAACCGGCCCAGGAACGGGAACAAGAAACAGAAACTAAAACCTTAACGGGACCAGGTCCCGGACTCACCTGGTGCGGAAATCAGAGCAGAGCCTGGATTAACGTCAGCGCCTGGCTTTTAAGGGGGGCTGGAAGGAGGCTAGAACAAGGGAAAGGTGCACAAAATCATGTCAGAAGTGAAAGAGCCGGAGCGCCCATAAGGGGGAGGGACTACAATCCTGACAGGTACAAAGTGTAAAAGGTATAAAGTTATACCTTTTACATGCACATTTAAAGAAATGACAATTGGAATACACAGAATAATTTATTATGTGATCGAAAGGAAAGAATGAGTGTTTAGTATGCTTTAGCTTCAGAGGCAAACAAATCATCATTGTATTAAAATCCCAGTCTTCCTCCCCTTCTGTGAATACCTAGTGGTAACCATAGACATCTGTCTGTAGCTATAGTTGAGACCACCAGAACATAAGAATTCTGGAAAAGATTATGGCAGTTTTCTGAGAGAATTATTCATCCCAGAAAGTACTAAGTGGCCATGATGAAATCTCAGTTACAGGTTCATTTAGCCATCTTATATACAGTACAGCAGCAACATTACCACTGTGTGTCCTGATCTCATCGGATCTCAGAAGTAG